TGCCACTAGTTCCATTATCCAAAAGAGTGATCCTTCTTAAGAGATGATCCTTCGTACTCTCTGCAAGAATGTCGCTATTCGCGAGTGTAAACACGTTAGTCATTTATTCCAAAACACTTGCACGTGTTGCAGGCCCGGCACTGCCCACTTTTTCATCCTTTTGAGCGCCTCGCACGTACTCTTTCCGTTGATTGTGACCTCTCTTTGTTCAGAGATTCTACTTGTATTCTTTTGTATTTCCTTTATCCGTTTAGCTTTTTGTTATTTGCTTTATCATTGTCGTACGTCCGTTTCTTATCGATTAAGAACGTAACTAAAGCGATTCCTCTGCGTGAGGACCAGAGGACCAACGGTCTCTGCATTATTTGCGGGTTTGTTCTTTGTATCTAGTTTTCTATCGAAAGCTTTAGCTTCGGTTTAAACGATGGTTTTGTTCTGTTTGTAGCGCTCGAACCTGCTTTGGTATGTAAGATGCTTTAACGATAACGTTAACAGCATCTGCTTAGCTTCGCATTCAGCTCTGTTTATTTCTTCTGGTTCAAGCCTGTGCTTTTTCTTCACATTCGTCGTTGATTCTTTTGTTGCTCCATTTCGTTTGTTTTCGTTGATTTGGCATATTTTTTCTGTTTGTTCCTGATTCTTCTTAGCCACTGTGACTCTTGTCTTCTTCGCGAATTTGTTTCCAGTTTAACGTAATGTTTCATCGTTTTCACAGAAACTGTCGCAATGTGTCACACTGTTGATCTATTACAAATTGCTGATTTGCATCGTCTTCAGAGTGCTGTTCGCTTGACTGACATATTTGCGCAGCTCTTTTTTGCCTCTGATATGAGAGATATGTATTCTTGGTTTTTCAATCCGTTGAAGCTCCTGAAGGATACCGTGCCGGTGCAGCTTTTTGCAGTTTTATTCAGTTGGATAGCTTCGGTAAAGTCAACTATTTCGCTCTCTGATCTGATAGATTTATCCGGGATGGTTGATCCTCCTGCACAGCGACATCATTATCAAGCGCTCTTCTGATTTGATCCAGTTCCAGTTCTGTTAACAGCGTGTTCTTCTCAATCAGCTGTGTATAGTCCGCTAAACGTTGCTCGATTGCATCAATGCGAGGAAGATCTTC